TTAAAAACGGGAGCAGGTGAGGCTGCAAGGACAGCCTGCAGCTCAGCAGGGCGGTGAAATGGCTGCTTCTACGTTGCCATGGCCAGAGCTCAAATAGCCCCAGGTGACTGTGCAGCTCTGGGACACCCAAGTAGATGAGTTTGGCCAACGAGGCCAACACTTAGGGCCCATCTGCAGAAGGATCAGTGACACCCCCCACCCCCCCCAGGGTTTTTACCCTCCCAGCTCAGAATTCCCCCCCCCCATGGAATCCAAAGTGATGTGGAGTGGTAGAAGGAGACCAACCCGGGTGGCCTCTGGCCCCTGGGCTTGCTCCTTGCTTGGCTGCTGGAGTCCCCTGGGGACCCTGAGGCTCAGGGTCTTCCTCCTGTCCCAGGCTGGAGGTAAAAAGAGGCTGTGGGGCTTGTGTGCCTGGACTCCCCATGGGTGCACGCGCACACACACAGATCGCAACTGGTATTTATCACACCACCTTTTATTCCTGAAGCTGTTATCACTACTAGCAGATCACCAGAGGAGAGGGGAACGCCAGATGGGAGATGAAACAGCCCTTGGGCACCTTGTATCAAGTGTCTTGGTGTAGGGAGAGTTTGGAGCAGCGAGGAAAAACAAAGGTCCTTTTTGTTGTTGTGTTTGGGCAAGGTGGGAGCAGGAGATAACCAAATTAGGACAGGGTGGGAAGAATGAGGGGTGTTTTTTCTCTCCTCCAGTGGAGTAGGAGGAACTTCACCCAGAGTTGGTGTTTTCTGCTGATGGTGGCCATGCTTGGTCCCTGTCCTTCCCTTCATATCCCCGGATACACAGATCTCTCTTCCCTCTCCCACGTGCGCCAAGATAACCACAGTCCTGGTGGACTTCCAGTCTCTGAAGAAGACCTCCTGGCTGGGCTGGCATCACCGGGCTTCACCAGCACGGTGTGGGAGCTGGAGCCACTCATGCACAGAGCTGGTGTACCCCGTGGCTGTGGTGGAGCCGCCGGTGCGTGATAACGTTGGAGCTCTGGCTGAAGCTCTTCCCGCACTCAGGGCAGCGGTAGGGCTTCTCCCCAGTGTGCACCCGCCGGTGCTTGGTGAGGGACGAGTTGACGTTGAAGCCCTTCCCACAATCCCCGCAGACATAGGGTCGCTCGCCAGTGTGGACCCGCTGGTGGGTGGTGAGATGAGCCCGTTGGCTGTACTGCCGCCCGCATTCCCCGCACCGAAACGGCTTCTCCCCGGTGTGCACGCGCCGGTGACGTGCCAGGTTGGAGACCACCGTGAAGCTCTTGCCGCACACACCACAGAGGAAGGGGGTCTCCCCGGTGTGGCTGCGCTGGTGGGTGAGGAGGTAGGAGCTGGTGGTGAAGCCTTTGCCGCACTCGGAGCACTTGTAGCGCTTCTCCCGCTGGCTGGCGCTGCAGTGCCGGACGAGGTGGGGTCGGTCGCTGAAGCCCTTGCCGCAGTCGGTGCAGCTGTAGGGTCGCTCGCTGCTGTGCGTCCGTTGGTGGGCGATGAGCTTGGAGCTGATGGTGAAGCCCTTGCCACAGTCAGCGCAGGTGTAGGGCCGCTCGCCACTGTGCAGCCGCTGGTGGGTGATGAGGTTGGAGCTGCCGCTGAAACGCTTCCCGCAGTCGGGACACTCGTAGGGCTTCTCTCCGGTGTGGGTGCGGCGATGCTTGATGAGATCGGAGCTGACGTTGAAGCTCTTCCCACAGTCCCGGCATGGGTACGGGCGCTCACCCGTGTGCAACCGGCGGTGGGTCACCAGGTGGGAACGCTGACTGCAACGCCGGCCGCAGTCGGGACACTTGTAGGGCTTCTCCCCGGTGTGGCTCCGCCGGTGGCGCACCAGGTTGGACACCACGTTGAAGCTCTTGCCGCAGTCGGCACACTGGTAGGGCTTCTCACCCGTGTGGATGCGATGGTGTGTCACCAGCGCCGAGCTGTGCCCGAAACCCTTCCCACAGTCAGGGCATTTGTAGGGCTTGTTCCCACCATGGCTCTGCTGGTGACGGAGCAAGTTGGAGAAGGCCCCGAAGCTTTTCCCACAGTCAGGGCAGGGGTGCTGGGACTCCCGTCTCCGGGGATGGAAGCTCTGCTTGCTGGTGGGATGAGGGATGGGTTTATCCCTGGGGCAAAGGCTATGGGGGAACAGCAATTCCCTGCATGTCCCTGGAGTTTCCCGCCCAGGATGACCCCGGGCCTCCTCTTGGCCCTTCTCTCGGGAGCTCTGGTGGATGTTGGCTGGCTCATGGTGCTGGGAGATGTCCTCCAGGCAGGTCTTGATGTCTGTGTGTGCGACGCTGTCCCTCATCCCACTCACCATCCCATCCCCTGCAGAGGAAAGAGAAAGAGATGACGAAGAGTCAGTCCCTGGCTGGGATGGAAAAGGGAACCCACTGAAGAAGCAGGGCAGGGGAAAGCCAAGAATGAAGAAAGCTCATGTGAGCTCCACCTTCAGCCCAGGCCCAAACCCTGACAGTTGGCCAGCTGGAGAAGCTCGGGCTGAAGTTCAGCTTCAAACCCCAGCTCTTAAAACCCTCCGTAACTCAAAAGGAGAGCTTCTGCCTTTGCTTCCCATGGGCCAAGAGTTCCCCTCCAACGTGCATCTGGAGGCAGCATCTCCCAAGAGACCAGGAGAGGTTCTGGGACCCCTCTCCTAGGAGATACCAAGCTCAGGGTGGGTGTCTTAGGGCCTGGGCAGAAGTCCCAGGTGTCCTGCTTTTCTCCTAGATGCTTTCTAGGTTATTTAAGCCAGTTCCTCACTGTGGAAGAGTTGTTAGAGAGGGTTTTGCGTCTGAGTCCTGGGGAGCTGGGGCCCACGTCTTCTCCTCCAATTCCAGCCCAGAGGAGATCCTGTCAGGCTGAGGGTCGGCAGAGCTGGTTCCTGAGACAGAGCAGAAGTCTGGGTGCATTTGAGGAGCTACTATGAGAAGATTTGGGGGCTCTGCTGGAGAGAGGATGATGCAAGGGCTGGGCACCGCTGAGAAAGGTCTCCCTCCTTGTTCTCTTACATAGCATCTCCTTCCACCACGGCTGGAGAGAACGTGGGGCCAGATGGACCATTGGTCTGACGTAGTAGAGCATGTGCTCCTCTGAAGAAGGTGGGGATAGAGGGTGCTATGGGTCCCCAATATGCGTCCCAAGGGGGAAGCACAATTGCCAGAAGCAATGGGGAAAGTCTCCCTCACCTCCAAAGTCTAGAGGACCATCCCCTGTGCCCACCCAATCCCAAGACTTAGCCCAGGAAGGAGGGAAGGTGCATCCTTACCCAAAGAGGAGTCATTTCCAGCACTCTCCTGCATGGCTTCCCGGTACTGGGCCCGCTTGCTGGGATCGGTGAAGTACCGAGCCACCTCCTTGAAGGTCACTGGACACTGAAACAACAAGGATTTCCCAGCTCAGCACCTGCCACCGTGGGTCAGCTCAAGGCAGCAGGGAGAGGAGCCACGGCTACGTTCGGCAGAGCTGCAGGAGAGCCAGAAAGGATGCTGGCAAGGATCAGAGATATCCGGGTGTCGTTCCCCGTGGGGTGTAGTTAAGCTGTGGAAAGCCTTGCTGCAGGACATCACGGATGCTAAAGGGCCACACGGGTTCAGAAAGCAGCTGGGTAAGCTTACAGGGAAGGAAAAAAAAGAAACTGGAAAACACTGAGAGTTGTTAAACACCCAACAATGCCTGATGGGGATGATGGAGCTGAAGGAGCTCAACGAGGCTGGGCTCAACCTCTCCACCCCATCCTCTGTGCCTTTTCCTGTCCCTTGGAGACACAAAACCCCATGCCCTACTGTGACTTTCCACCTCCCCTGTGTTTCTGACAGATCTCAGAGAAACCCTTCTGGCAGCTTGCACCCAGGCTCAGCCTTGAAGCATGCCCACCACGGGCTCCATCCTCTGCTCCTCATCACCTCGCTTGCACCCTGACCGCCACCGGTATATGGGGACCTCTTGGTTCAAAGGGAGTTGCAGGAAGGTGATAACCCACAGCCACGGTCACAGAGCAGCTTGTACAGCCCCACCAGACCCGGCAGAGGGTACCTGACGTTTCACGTCAGCCAAAATGCACTTGCCCACCCCGAAGGAGAGACTCTCCCTCACCTGTGCCGGCTCTGCTGTGGCCATGTCCTTCTCCGTCCCTCTCCGCAGCGATGGGGATGCTCTGCTGGAGCCTATGGAGGGAGAAGGAGGTGCTGAGCTCTTCCCTGGAGGGAAAAGCTGGGAAAAAAACCCTGGACAAATCCAGGCAGTGCCCTTTGCATGGGCATCTGTGCAAGGGAAGAAGCAGCCGCCTTCATTCCCGCGAGGTTTTTCCCCTCGGGACACAAGAGAGGGCTCAGTCAGCCCTTGCCCAGCAGAGCTCAGCTTTGTCGGACCTCTTCCACCTTCCTGGGAGCAGATCTGCTGCTCGGATCACCAGGATCCCAGGTCCTGGGAGCAGCTCTTGTCTCCCCATGCCTTCTTGTGGCGCAACCCCACGCACAGGGATGGGGCAAGGACAGGGACTGGTGCTCCCTCTCTCTGCTCCTTGCACTGGTCCCAGTACAGGGACTGGGGCCGGACTGGGAGGCAGGGCAGCCCGTGTGGGTCTTTCCCTCCTGCCCTGTGCCCATCACCTGGAGTGTCTGGCTCAGAATTTGGTGCGGACAGAGCCCCGGGGGAGAGGGCTGTTGCGTGCCTCGATGGGCCTGGGGATGCAGGCAGGGCTCTGCCTGCCCCACGCCGGCACCCGCTGGCACAGCCCCTGCTCGGAGCACATCCAGGATCCCTGGAGAGCCCTCTTCTCCCCTCCGCTTTCAACATGCAGCTGATCCAGCCCCTTCCTGTGTCCTCCCATACCCAGCCGAGCTGCAACACTCCCAGAGCCACCTGGGCTGCTCGGTGTCCCCCAGCACCAGGGCTTGGTTCCCCCGGTCTCCCTTGAGGACATCCATCCACTGCCACCAGCCAAGGAGTGATGGAGCAGGGAAAGAGGATCAGGGAGGCTGCAGAAATCAGCTCCGCTCCCTCCTTCAGCGGGGAGGCAGGGGTTAAACGCCTGTGCATTAGGGAGGGCAGGATTTAGAGATAACTCCCCATCCTTGCGCTCTTTCCAAAGCAAATTAAAAGAAAATTATTGCTTCCCCTCCTCTCCCGGCTTTTCCCGGCCAGGGAGGGATTAAACCACCACTAAAACCCCTGCACCCACCGTAGAGAAAAGCGTCCGCGTGGTTTCAAATCTCCTGGGCTTTCTCGGAGGCAGAAATCCAGGCTCCTCTCTCATTCCCCCGCTGCATTTCTTTATCTTCTTGTTCACAGAGTTGTGTTTTCCTTGGCTTTCGTGATCTCCTCCAGCAACAAGGAGGGATACCTTGGTAAGTGGAAATTCCCCTCCTTCCCACCCGCAAGCGCATGACTCCTGAGCCTGGAGCTTTTGGGGGAAAACAATCAGTTTTCACCAGCCACGTGATGAAAACACAGTTTGGGCCACTTTTCCAGGTGGAAAACCTAATTTCTTGCTTGCACAGCTCGCATCCCTGATGCTGATCGGGCAACCAGCCCGGTGTTCCCCTCTCCCACCTGGGGGATGTCCTGTTGCCCCAGAGAGACCCCCATCACCTTCCCACACTTCCCCATGGTTGCAATACTCAAATATTCCCGCTGCTGCTGTCACGACCCCCCGTTTCTAGCAGCTGGGGCTCTCCAAAACCGCTGGGTAAAAGAGAAGGGCGTGGGGGCAATGCGGGTGACGGGGCAGGACCGTAGCGGGGTCCCATGTGCCCCCCGTGGGTGCCGGGGAGCCTGCGGGGAGGGTCGGGATGGGGGGGGAAGCCGGGGTTGGGTTACCTCTAGAGGGCTCTGGGTAAACGCTGCCGCCGAGGAGCCTGTTCTTGGCGTCTCCTCTCTCCCGGATACCGGCTTGGGCTTCCGGAGTAAAGCCATGCCCGGCGTCGCCTCCATTGTGCCCCGCTGTCAGAAGGCTCGGCGGTCCTCGGGGTACAAAGAGGGGGGTGTGGATCCCCCCCCCCTTCTGCCCCGCTGTCAGAAGGCTCGGCGGTCCTCGGGGTACAAGGAGGGGTCTGTGCATCCCCCTCTCCTTGCAGCCTCAGCCTGGGAAGGCGGGTCGCTTCTCCCGGAGAAAGCCCTGTGGAGGCAGCTCCAGGCTCGGCTGACAGCGAGTCCTGAGCCGGGGACTGCAGGTAATGGGGAGAATCCCAGGGCAGGGATGTGCGGTGCCCCCTCATCGGGTCCTGAGCTGCGTCGGGGCTGGAGCTTGCAGGAGCAGGATGGGCCCTGGCCCCTGCATGCATCATGCAT